GTCGTCGGGGTGTTGGTACCATCCGGATGGGGTGCGTTCGGGTGCGGCGAAGCGCCCGTCGACTTGGTCGGGTGGGAGGAGGAGAACGCCCGTGCTGTTGCCGCTGCCGGCGCCGGCAGTGGTGGGTCTTCTCCTGCTCTTCTTGCTCCTCTTCTTCTTTTTGGTGGCACCCTCCTTGTTGGGGTCGTACTCGTCTTCGTCCTTGTCCGCGGCGAGATCCAGTGCTGCGCGTTCTTGCGCCGCGGGGATGAAGGACTCCGGCACGATGTTGAGGACATCACCAGCCTCCTCGGCTTTTTCGATGGCTTCTTGCGCCGTGGTCTGTCCGTCGGCCGTAGCGGCGTCCGCGCGTGGCCCGCCCCAGGTGCGCTGGCCCGCTGTGAAGATGCCGTAGACCATGTAGTACCAGTTGAAGAAGGGGTTGAGCACGAACATCACGGGGTAAAGCCAGATCTTGAAGCGGCGGAGCTTGGCGCCGAAGTAGATCATGAGCATCCAGTTCAGTCCTAGCGAGATGGCGATGAAGCCGACAGGGAGGTCGTTGATCCCCTTGGAAGTCGTCATCAGAGCCAGCACCATGATGAAGAAGAGCAGGGCCGTAGTCCGGATCGTGTTCTGCATGAACCGGACGAGAACGAGAACTGGGTACCGCTTCCATAACCGCCAGTCGGTCAACATGCAGACTTCGTTAGTGATAAACCCTAGAAACCACCGGCGGCGCTGCTTGATGAGCGACGCCATTGTCTGGACGGCCTCAGTCTTGCAGAACGCTGACGTGCACATCTGGATCTGGTACCGCTTCTTGGCCCCGATCATGAACAGATGGGTTAACCAGCGGTCCTCGCCCAAGTGACTTTTCGCAAAGTCGAAGAGGTCTTCGCACTGCTCGGCCTTGTCTGCGAAGTAGTATTTAGCCATCCGCCGGAAAGCTGAGAACCGGAGCATCGTCAGGGCGCCAGGCAGGCAAGTGACAGAGCCACATCCGGATTCGACCGTTCGCTCGAAAAGCTGGCCGTGGATGTACTCCATATCCTGGAGGAGCGTGATAACGCTGTGCTTCCTTGTTGTTGACGTGATAACACCCGTCATGGCCAACATATCCCGCCTGTTGCCCGGGCTCAGTTCCATGTCGTACACAAAGTTCTGCAGGCAAACTTTATCAAGGATGCAGTCGGAATCGATGAAGAGAATAAACAGGTTGTCGTTTCTCCGCAAATACTCTTGGTAGACCTTGTCGATGAGCTTGAAGGTCATCTTCTGGCAATGTCTCTTTCCGCCGTGGGGGAACCGCGAGACAGTGATTCGGGCGGCTTTGTAGGTCACGTCGATGCTTTTGGGGTACGACTCGAGCGTCAGGGGCACTCCGAGCTTCTCAATGGTGTTGAGGTACAGCTCATCTTCCTGGTCACCGTCGAAGGAGAGAAAGACGTGGATGCAAGAAGGCGGGTAGTCGCAGTCGACGACCGAGTTAACGGCGGTCACAAGTACGTCGGGTTCCTCTTTGTAGCAAGGCATGACAATGACGACCTTGGGAGCCGACACCTCATCAAGAACCTGCTTGATCCGCTTCGTCCGCCCCAGTTGATGCGTGACGATCTGGTAGATGCAGAACAACCAAGGGATGGTCAAAAGACCGGCAAAACTCCAGAAGGCAAACCACTGAAGGAAGGTAACCATAAACTGGGGCCAGACACGGGCAATAACGCTGGGAAGCGGCAGCGTCACCACCATGATGGGCAGGAATATGGCTCTGCAAACATGTTAGTTATGAGCCACGGCCAAAACCAGGGATTGGTACAGACCTGAGGAGCGTAAACGCAACGCCGACACATACTGCCAGCACCCGGACTGTCCAGTGTTCGGCTTTGACAAACACCTTCCATAAGCAATAAAGAAAGGCAGCTATCCAGAGGAACCACTCAAGCAGCGCGGCCAGCATTACCACACCCACAATGGAGGTGTAAACGATCTGAACACACGGTTAACTCCTGATCTTATTAACTGCGCATAAAAGTTTGAGCCACTCACGTCGCTAACCGGCCATAACACTTCACCGTCTCCCGCCATTGTGGAGTAGTGATTGAAGAAGTGAGCGTCTCAAACGAAAGTAACAAACACCGTCAAACGGCAACGGTCCGGGAGGATGGCGACAGTAAAGAACGAACGGCAGCGAGAGGCCAGGCCGCAGCCAGCTCGCAACGACACACTAACCAGACAGAGGGAATCCCGGTCTGCAAAATGTGAGGTGTCTGGCGCGCGGGTCTCCGTAAAGGAGCGGTCGGCGGATAGGTGCACAAGCGAACGGCTACCTGCAGCGCCGTCGACCAGCCGATTTCCAAGCCCTGGGCCGCGGGAAGGCCAACCCCCCTTCGTATCAGAAAAAATGGTCCGGCAAGGGCCTTATTTTCAATATCAGGAAACCGGTGGACTCACGCCCAGGCTGTGCTGTGCGACCGGAGACGCTCTGCCCAGCGAGGCATATAAGAGGGAGGAGGACAAGAGCAGTAGTAGTAGGTCAGCGGGAGGGAACAGTAACCGGGGAAGCTGGAAAGTAAGGCAGCCGGTAGGATAATGACCTGTTACTTCGTAGCATTTCCGCAACCACACCTGACCCCCCGACCCAGACCCAAACCAATGGCCACAGGGCCACGCCAGCGCCGATCATCCAACTCTTTTGTTGAAAGAATCTGCAGCATCCGGTCGGCCAGCCGATGTATGGGGTGCAGGGGCAGTGGGCCAGACGGCAGAGACGTCAATATAATATCTGCAAATGAACACACTTTAGCCGGCTGCTTCTTTTTGCAGGCCAACCCTCTTCTCACCACAGCTCATCCCGCCTCCACGCCGGAGCTTTCTCTCGCCAGACTGGCACGGAATGACTGAAGTAGCATTTTTCTGTCCAGGCTCATGTTGTGTAGCCATCCAGTACGTGTCCGTCCTAGGTTCTGGACCTGGATCAGGGACGCACCATACCGCGCTCGCCCCAAGAAGGCCCGAGACACGAGATGGGGCTAGATGCGAGTGATGGAAACATGGCCACTCGTCTGCTCGCACGCCTTGCGCGGATTTAGAACATTCAGCTGCCTGTGTTGACAAACCCAAACGCCCGGGTGTTGTCGCCGTTTGTCTGTTTTTCCGAAGGAATGGGTTGAAACATCTGTAAGGCATGATTATCCCGGGATATTCCCCGGTAAAGCCAATAGTATGTGTAACTTGAAGAAACAACGAGCACTTGCTGTCCTGTACCTGAGAAATAGACCTTTCCAGCTCCGAGCGAGCGAAGAAAAGGGAGGCACACCCCCGATCCGAAGCTCAAAATGGTCGAGCCGAGGTTCTAGAATGCAATGCTGAGTCCAATCGAGGCGACTTCTCTCGATGGGCGCCTTGCGGCAGCAAATTAACCAGCCCGCGAGCTGAGTCCAAGCGGGCTCCCCGATGTCGTGCTGCAGAGACAGCTGAGCGTCACCAAAACGACGACGCCGTAGCCTACCATTCCAAAAACCGAGAGCGAAATCCGTGAATCTTTGTGCTACCCATCGAGCCGGAACCAGACGAACCCGACCCAAACTCTCCATCCATCCGGCCAGATCTGCACCTCGCGCAAACAGACATCCATCTATCCATCCATCCATCAAAACAACAAGGCCCCAACAAATCGAAAGAACAAAACACGATCTGCCGAGCCCGCATACTTAGCACGTCCACTCGGGAGGAGTGTGGGGGCACACTACCTCCCACATCCACCCACAGCCGGCATCCCGATTCAAAACAAGGCAAGTTCGGCAAGGCCACCCATCGATCGGGAACGTGAAAAAGAACGAAGCGAAGTGTGCCAACCAAAGCCAGCCAGACAGACAGGGGCGGGAGATCTCCCGGGTGGGTCTCGCCCCCCCAGCCCCTGGCAAAGGTACCACGCCAACGTAGCAGCAGCAGCAACAGCTGCCGGTGTGTTTGGTTGCAGCGGGAGAGGGAGGGGGGGGCGGCTGCTGCCAGGTATACCGAGCTGGTTCTTGTTGGACTGCTGTGCAATGTGGTAGTGGAAAAAAAGAAACTACCTACCGACCTAGCCTGGGGATTGCAGCGAAGCGAGGTCAAATCCCGCCGTAGGAATGCGTGCGTCAGCACTTCGGGGATGCGGGAATATAATCAGCGCTGCTGGTAAATATGTAATAAGTAATAACACAGCGGCTCAGCGGGATATCTTCTATCGGAAGCAAAGAAGCAGAGAAGCGGTAAGGCATATCGTACCTTGTGCACACGTGCAACGCCGTCGCTCCGTCGTTGGAGTTGGAGAGGTGTTGTTGGTTGGTTGGCGATGAATGTCACGAAAGCGCATCGTTCCCCATCGTCACACTGCATCAGTCGTGTCGATCCCATCCCGCAGAACACGAACCTAGAGGTAAAAAAAAATCGTATGAAAATTTGCAATCTGTTGTGTATCGCAAGCTATCTCTGTCTTGCTGTCTGGCTTGGTAGCAACTATTCTCTGCGAACCTGACAGGCCGTGCTTGGTATGGAGACGCAACGAGCCTCCTTTTCTCCGCGAAGATCCCAGACATCGCTGGCTATGGTTCTTCTCCCTGGTAAATCCTGACGCGCGATCGGCGGTGGGACATGTGGACCGGCTGGGGAGCGGCAGTTGTCTATATATAGTCCGCTTGATCTTCGTTGCATGAAAATCCCGTCCGGTCTGTGCTGGACGGTTCACTCGCCTTGGGCAACGCTCTCGGCCGGCCGTATGTTGGTCGAGCTCGCCATCGATATGGCCGGCTAGATCTGGTCGGTGAGAAAATGACGGCGAACCCGTGAGCTTCTAGTTAAACGACTCTGCACCGTAGGCTACTTAGACAGGCCACCCAAGGTAGAGTTGCGCTGTTGTTTCGGTAACGAAGATCTCAGGTTCGTTTCCCTTGGTGTAATCCCATACGATCGCAAGTATCGCTAGTTACTCGGTATCAGGTCCTAGAATGCGCCGTCCAATGCGACCTTGTCAGAAACCTTTTGCTAATAGAGGTGCTTGTGTTGCTGCGATTTGCGAGAACCCGTCTCTTGACGTCTACCCGAGGCAAAGCGCATGCGATGAAGTGCTAGTCATGCTCTTGCTTCACCGCCACATGACGGACGGGTGGTTGCCATATGTTGCGTCGCCGGTAGCTCTGGTTCGACCCTCTGGGATGTCCCTGGGCAGCGTAGGGCACTCGCCCTGGTTTTTGAAGGGGGTTGTTTCCGGGGTTATCATACCAGTCAACGTCGCTGAGTTGGAGCTTGCGGACCCGCTGTCCGCGCTCCTTGCCCAGCCGGGGGTCGAGCCGGTTGTGATGGTGGTGCGCTGGCGCTTTCTCGTTTCCTGCAGAAATGTGATGAATACTAATGCTTGACTTGTAGGAGTTCGTGTGCTCTTCACCATCCTGTTCTTCGTTTTCCCGAAGATCGTAGTTCAGCACCAGGTTCTTGATGCGCTGTTGCTCTTCCTTTGCCACCTGCCGCTGGTTGATCATGGCCACGGCAAAGTTAGAGTCCGAGGGCAATTCAACCGTTCGGGTCTATGACGGTTAGCTACCACATAAGCATAATGGAACAATATACTAGACTCACCTGTTGGCGATTTCCCCTCTTGGTCAGGAGAGAGAAGGCCATTGTTCCGCCCGGAGTACCGGGACCGCTTTCGGCGGTTTCGCTGCCGCTCGTGGCTTCTCGAGTCTTTGCCCGGATAGGGAGGGGGATGTCGACTTGCTGCTTCGGCTGGAACTTGCGAGTCTCGGCGCTTTCCGCCATAATTTTGGCATACTCGCGGTCGAAATCAGCTTCATCTTCGGGATCAATCTCCTCTTCCTCCCTGGTAACAACAATGGCCTCCTCCTCCGAGTCGCTCGCATCGTAGGATGGGTCCTGGTCAGCGTCCTGTATGATTCAAACCCGTTAGCGGCTGCTGTCACATCCGAGATTAGGAGTGATGCTTGCCTCGACCTCGACCTCCCCGTCCTCAGAGCCCGAATCGTCATCGTCATCCCCGACAGGCTCGTCATCGCTGGAACCCCCGCTTGTTTCATCGTCCTGCTCCACGGCCTTGTCGAGCCCGGAAGTCTTCTGGTCTTGGACCATGGCCAGCTGGAACACTTTTGTAGCTTCCTCTATGTTAGAGGCTAGCTTCCACTGAGGCCTGCACAAAGCAAAGATGTCCTGGACTAGGAATTCGATATCCATGGGTAGAGGGTTCTTGGCGTGGATGTAGTACTGGAAGAAGGAGAGGAAGTAATCGAGCTTCTTCCCGGCGGCACCTTTGTTGAAGAACATCCCACATGTCTCAAGAACTGTAGAAATTAAACGAATGCGGAAGTAGTCATCGGGCTGATCGAAGGGGTTGATGCGGCCAGGGATTGGTGGTCCACCTAGAGGTTACAATTAGCGAGCTGCCATAGGTCAAGGATAGGATTACTAGGTACCGTGACCGAAGGTCATGATCTTGTACATGACATCGAAGATCACAGGGTGCTCGAGCATCCTGTAGTTGTAGAGCTCGCCAAGGTACTTGACTTCGGCAACACGGCGCTGGTTGGACTTGAAGTCGTTTTGCTCAAGACCAAACGCAATAGACTCGATCACGGAGTCAATGACGCCGATCACGAAGTCGGGATGGTACCTGTTGACGGCGCTCAACAGGATGGCAAGCAAGTGGATGTTGCCAAACTTGACCTTTCCAGGCTTCGAGAAAACCTTGTGAAGCACAGAGACAACCTATCAGGGTTAGGTCACATCATCTAACTTACGCGGGGACTGCGGTAAGCATACCTCTTTCTCTTCCCAGTGAAGCCGACGAATCTGCCTGAGAACCTTGCTGTAATTCCGCTTGGTCAGGTCCGCGTAGGCAAGCTTGCGGATGAAGAGTTCCATCGGCGTTCTCTCCTTTTGCTCGATCGCCGGACGCTGCGGTGGGTCAACGTAGTACACGGCGTTCTCGATGAGCATCCTCTCAGCCGGCCCGATGTGTTGTACCGACTTCTTCCGCTGTAGCGTCTCTAGGAACGTCGACATGCGGGGCGACGTCTCCGGGTTTCGGAGAAGGTAGCGGCCGCAGTTCTCTAGCAGATTGCAGATGATCTCGATGTTCATGCGGGAGAAATCATCCAGGCTGACCTTGAGGCAATGGAAGACAACGTGCTCGGGGACAATGCCGAATTTGGTCAGTTCAGCGAGGTAACGAATATTGCTGAGCCTCACTTGACCTAGGAATTCCTTTTCCTTGCGCCGTTGCAAACTGCGGAACTCGGCATCCAGGTATTCCACGAGTCCCTTGGGAATGTCTGTCATGTACTGGCCAAGGGTAGCAACAAGTCTCCCCCAGCAGGGAAGAAGATCTCCGCGGCCCTTTGGGACGTCTGTCAAGGCCTTTACAAGCCGATTTCTCGAAGCCTTGGAGTTGAGGTAGCAGAAGTCAATGGCCGTCTGGTCGATGGCATCCTTGGTAGTGAGGTCCGGCAACCTGGTGAGCAAAGCATCGACTTGAGCTCCGATTGTCTTGTTTGCGATTGCCACCGACTGGTTGTCGGCGGCGGTGTCGGCTGGCTTCGGAGCTTCGGCGAGTTCCGCCGGGTCGACCTTCTTGCCAACCTGCTCATCTGCATCGGCCTTCTTTTTCTTGACTTCCTCGAGGAGAATGCCAGGAACCTTGCCCCGTAGGTCAACGAGATTTTCGTAGAAACGGCGCTCCTCTTCATCCTCCCAGATGCCGGAGCCGTCGCCTTGGCCGCGTAGGTATTCGCCAGCTTTTACAATGCCAATGGAACCATTTGCGCCACCTGAAGGATCATCGCTGTCCTTCAAATCCGGCATCTCGGCCCCAATGACATCCGAAATGATCTGTGCATTAGCCACCAGACGCTCCTGTGCCTTGACTTGCTTCTCAAAGTTCGCCTGGCGGTCTTCGAAGACTTCGCCTGATTTAACGTAAGCTTCGGCATTCTTGCGAGACTGGCTGTAGATAGCTTTTTGGTCTCGGACGAGGTGGCTCTTGACATCTTCAAAGTAGCGCTTCAAGACGTTTCTGAAGCGCTCCTGCAGCTCGGGTGGAGTGAAGGGAGGATCTTCGGATGTTGGTTCAGGTTCGCCTTCTTGGTCATCAGCCGCCTCTCCAGCCTTGGTTGCGCCGTCTTCCTCAACAGTTTTACGGCCCTCGGAGCCGACAGTCCTGACGCCGAGAACATCCCAATTAAACGCCCTGACGAAGACGACAAGTAACGGCAGGTTTGCGTGCTCCCGATCATGACCAAGAAGATCCTTTAAGACCTCAAGGGGAAATGGTTCGGCAGCACCTCCTTTGGCGGACGCGCGGGACTTCACTTCGGTCTGCTTTCCAGCACCCCCGTTGGTGGCATCGTCTGGGCGCTTGATGTCGTCTAGAGTGCGTAGGACATCAACAAGCCACAGCTCGGTCACGACCCGGAGGAGGACCCGCTGCCGAACCAATCGATCCTTCTCCTCCTTGTCTCTTGCTTCCGGGGTAAGGCTTTTGAGAACGCTCTTATCAGGTGTAGCCATGGACCTCCCGAGAAACCAACCCAGGTACGACGTGAAGTCATCGGGTCCAAAGCGCTGGTGCAGAGCGCTGACAATCTCCACGCCGGCCTCGATCTCGCCCGGGGACCTGAGCTTGCATAGACCTTCGTGGCAAGCCGAGACAATCTCGGAAAGATATTTGGACAGGCTAACGGTCTTGATTTCTTGGAGGAACGTGTTCAGGGTCGCGGGAGAAATGGCGGTACGCAGACGCTTAATGAAAGCAGTGTTCTTTTTCATAGTCGAGTCGAGCGAGTTGCCAACGGGCAAAAGGTCTAGCCAAAAGATAGTATTAGCCACGGCGACGAACGGTTCAAAGATGGATGTCTAGGTATTCTCACCCTTCTCCCCATTCCAAGCCCGCTCGTTCAGCTCGCGCAACTCGTCTGTAAGACAATTAGCCATCTCAACGCAAGGGTTGGCGCACTCCGGGGGACATACGCCTCCTAGCACGATCCATGGTGGGCCGCTATCTTGGAAGTGCGCGATTAGGAAAGAGTTGGCAGCGGCGGCGCATTCGGAGTTCGAGATGCTAAGGGTTGAGGAACCGAAAACGACAATCCCCATCAACAATGGGAGGCATCGGTGGCGTGGTTTGTAGAGGCAGCCTCTTGAGGCACTCGTGGTAGAGGAGAGACTCCTAGAAAGCGTGGAGGGCCAAAGAATTCACGCTGGTGGATGCTAGGTTGAAACAACCCTCGGCGATTGAAAGTTCAAGGTTCGGTGACGGAATTGTTGCTGCTTGGGGTTTTGGTGGATTCACTCATCAGGGCCATGGGATTGGATCATTAGGCGCGTCTTAGCGCCCGATGCCCTACAAAGGAGAGGGACAAGCCCCGCAGGCGGAAGCAGCCCCGCGACTGGATCAAACCCACATGCCAGCAAGGTACAGGTAGGCTGTGTCTGTTTTCACAGAATCAACAATTTCTGGGTCGCCTGCGACGTCCAAACCCACTTATGTATCGGCAAGATATGCGCAAAAATTCCATCCGGTTACCTGACAACTACCTACCTAGGTAGGAATGTAATACCTGGGTACCCAGAGAAGGTGCAAAAGAACTAAGCAATCCAGGTACCTCCATATCCTCCATACAAACAACAACAACCCAACGACCTCTTTCTGCGCTTTCGCTCTCGGCATATCTGCCTCTGCCTATCCCGCCCTTTTACTTTCAATTCGGTTTCCCGAGCTACCTACCTAACCGGCATGTTGTGGAAGCACAAAGACTGTATCGCCGTCGGGGTGCGCAGCTCCGGATCGAAGCACAAAATGGGGGGGGTATCCTACTTGAAGTAGGCACCCTTGAAACTATTCATAGCCTCGCTATAAATGGACGTTACCTACGAAGTATAGGTAACGCAGACCGGAAGCGCCCTGGATTCCAAGGACCGTGGCTCGCCGGACAAGGGGTCTTGGCAGATGCCGGCCACGGCGATTCGGCAGCTGGGGAGACGGGGATCCGGGTCCCGCAGGTGTGTCTTGGCCCCGAGCCCCCCGAGCCAAGCCTAACCCCTGGCAGATAAAGGCCTGGGCCTTGTGGGAACCCCTGCCGTCCCACGCCAAACAGCCGCAGGACTGCTGATAACGGGCAACCACACACCAACATCTCGAACCGGAGAAAGGAAAACAGAAATCGCTCGTCGTGTGGGGGTAAGCACCGCACAAAGCTACCCTCCCCAGCGTCCCTGCGGCCAAAAAGGAACGGATCCAAAACGATTCTAAAGCCTTCAGATATATATTCGGCGACAAGAGCTCTGCGATGCCGTGATAGTCGCGCCTCGCGAGTACCTGGTTGAGCATCTCCGTCTAATCTTTGAGTGGGCCACCTTATCAAGACGTCTGATTTGTAGACTGGCATATCGTGGTCCAAACAACTGATAAGACCGCACAATCCGCCTGCTCCATTCCTGGCACCGATCGAGGCATGTCCGCGGAATTGGGGGACGATCATGTATCGTGCGATGATTTCCGAGCTCCTCGGATGGTGCTTTGGTTACCGCGGGCATCCATACCATACACAGTACTATGTACGGCACACCGCCCGTCGCTGTGATACCCTCTTTCGGAGCTGTCACTACGTAAAGTCTCACTCCCGCCAGCCCTGGAGATGCGCTCAGCGCTGGCCGGAGGAAGGCTACCCGGGTCCACACAAACTTGAACAAGTCCACGGCCCACGGCCCACGGCCCACGGAATCCCCTTGTTAGTTATGGGGAGTTTCCCCATCAAGCCACTGCCGGCCGCCGTTATCTTGCAATTCCGACAAGGCCACGGAGAAGCAGCCACTGCTTCGGGATGATGTTCGTTTCGGGACGGGAATAAGACGTGGGAGTTGGGGGACAGGACATGCGGACTTTGGGGTGTTCCGCTCTCACATTCGCCTTCCTAGTATTTGATAACCCCCTTATCTCTTCTTCTCGCCCCCTCTGACCGGCCATACATTGTTTTACGGCTTAGCCTACGTGGTGTTTGCCAGGCATTGTGTTTTGTCGTTTAGTTCTTAGTTCCGTCCCATAATTGCAGACACCATGGAAGTGGTACTCCCACCAACACCTTCTCTCCACTCATCACCCCTTACTCAACCGCATATCCCTCCAACCCCCCCTTTGCAAGATTACGACGAGTACCAAAAGCTAGGCTTTGTATTGCCCTCAAACGGCGTCGGAAACTCCGCACCACTCTACCCCCTCCCTCTCACACCAAGAGAAAACAAGGTCCTCCCCGAAGACCTCAAAACCCCCGACAACCACGTGGAAAGAGACCCCCGGCTCATCAGGCTAACCGGCATCCACCCGTTCAACGTCGAGGCCCCACTAAGCGAGCTCTACGACGAAGGCTTCCTCACCACCAAAGACCTGCACTACGTCCGCAACCATGGCGCCGTGCCCGAGGTCGACAACGCGGGCCTGCTCGACTGGGAATTCACCATCGAAGGCCTCGTCGCGCACCCCGCCACCCTCACCCTGCGCGACCTCATCCAGACCTACGACCAAGTCACCTACCCGGTGACCCTCGTCTGCGCGGGCAACCGGCGCAAGGAACAGAACCTGGTCCGCAAGACCAAGGGCTTCTCCTGGGGCGCGGCGGGCGTGTCCACCGCCCTGTGGACAGGCACTCCCCTCGGAGACCTCCTCGCGCGCGCGGCGCCCACCCGCGGCGCGCGCTACGTGTGCTTCGAGGGCGCCGACCGCCTGCCCAACGGGTATTATGGCACGTCGGTCAAGCTGGCATGGGCGACCGACCCGGACCGCGGCATGCTGCTCGCCCACCGCATGAACGGCGAGCCGCTGCACCCGGACCATGGGAAACCCTTGCGTGTGGTCATCCCGGGGCAGATTGGTGGGCGCAGTGTTAAGTGGTTGAAGCGGATTATCGTGACTGATCGGCCAAGCGAGAACTGGTATCATATCTATGATAATCGCGTGCTGCCTATGATGATCAGCCCCGAGGATAGCGCCAACTTGCCCGAGACGTGGAAGGATGAGAGGTATGCCATCTATGATTTGAATACCAACAGTGCGATCTGCTATCCGGCGCATGATGAGCGGGTGGCGGTGCCGCCGGGCGGGGAGGGGACGTATAAGCTGAGGGGGTATGCTTATGCGGGTGGTGGGAAGCGGGTGACTCGGATGGAGGTAACGTTGGACCAAGGCAGGACGTGGATGCTGGCGAGCATGTCATATCCAGAGGACTTATACCGGCTCGCGGCTGAGGGGGAGGTGCTGTTTGGTGGGAGGTTGGATATGGCGTGGCGGGAGAGCTCTTTCTGCTGGTGTTTCTGGGAGCTGGACGTGCCGCTCTCGCGGCTGCAAGAGGCGGGTGATGTGATGATCCGCGGGATGGATGACTCCATGATGGTGCAGCCGCGGGATATGTACTGGAGCGTGCTGGGTATGATGAACAACCCGTGGTACAGGGTCGTCATTCACAAGGAGGCGCATGGGTTGAGGTTCGAGCATCCCTGCCAACCGGCGCTAATGCAGGGAGGGTGGATGGAACGAGTTAAGAAGGAAGGCGGTAACATCTCCAACGGTTTCTGGGGCGAGAAGATGACCGGCAAGGACAAAGTGCAACCGGCAGAGGCGCCTGTCAAGGAGATCAGCATGGTTGACGAGAAGGTCACCCGCCAAATCACCGCCGAGGAGCTCCAGGAACACTCCGGGCGAGGAGAACCCATGGTTCGTCGTCAACGGCCCAAGTCTACGACGGCACCAAGTTCCTCGAAGAGCACCCCGGCGGCGCCGCCTCCATCACCAACGCCGCAGGGCAAGACGTAAGCGAGGAGTTCCTCGCCATCCGTAAGCATCTCCCCCCCTCCTCCCACCCACACCACCCCTCCCTCCACTAACACCCCCCCAAAGACAGCGAAAACGCCAAAGCCATGATGCCGACCTACCACATCGGCGCCGCCCCGCGCACCCTCTCCGAGCCCGAACCCACCGACTCCCCAGCGACCCTCGACCCCGTCTTCCTCTCCCCCAAAACCTGGCGCCGCGCCCTGCTCGCCTCCAAAACCGCCATCTCCCCCGACACCAAGATCTTTCACTTCACGCTCCCCTCGCCCACCCAAACCATCGGCCTCCCCGTCGGCCAGCACCTGATGATCCGGCTGCGCGACCCGGCCACACGCGAGGCCATCATCCGCGCCTACACCCCCCTCTCCGAGGGCCACGAGACAGGCACCCTGCGCGTGCTGATCAAGATCTACCGCGACACGGCGGAGCGCAAGGGGGGGTTGATGACGCAGGGGCTGGATGCGCTGCCGGTGGGGCATGCGGTGGATTTCAAGGGCCCCGTGGGCAAGTTTGAGTATCTGGGTCGGGGGAGGTGTAGGCTCAATGGGAGGGAAGCGGGTGGTGAGGAAGGTTTGTGATGGTGTGTGGTGGGTCCGAGGGGTCACGCCGATTTTTGCGGTGCTGAGGGGCGGTGGTGAAGGGATGTGGGGGGATGAGACGCGGTGTGTGGTGCTGGATGGGAACCGTGAGGAGGGGGGATATCTTGTTGAGGGAGGAGTTGGGGCTGTTGGAGAGTGGGGGTGCGCGACGGTGTCGGCTCGTGCATACACTGAGCAGGCCGGGGGAGGGGTGGACGGGGTTGAGGGGACGGGTGGATAAGGGGTTGTTGGAGCGTGAGGTGGGGAGGCCGACGGAGGAGAGAGATACGATGGTGTTGATTTGCGGGCCGGAGGGGATGGAGAAGGCGGCGAGGGAAACGTTATTGGGGATGGGGTGGGATGAGGGGGATTTACTTTTCTTCTAATTAACCAGTGACTGTGTAAAATCTTTAAGCTTTGTATTTAGACACATGACGAATTATGATGGAAACTTGATGGAAATAAAGTCCAATTCCAGTAGAAGGAATTCGGTCTTATTGATCGTTCACTTACCTCGACCTTCTTCCTAGAAGGTCCGTTAGGGAAGCCACGATGTGGAAAATGAGATGGATGGTGAAAAGGACCGAGGTTTCGTCCCGGAGATGTTCAAACATGTTGGAAATTATCGGATGATGTTGAGACCGGCTGCTGCAGTGGAACACAAACTATCTCCGTAAAAATGTACAGGATGACACGATCCGCCTTTGCATCTCCGGCGTCTTCGCAACATTTTGGAAATAATAGGGAAGTTGTATGTGGTGTAACGCTTCGTACGGTACGGGTCCAAAAGTCTGGAGCACCCCACATCAATTAAACGCGCGTCGCGACACGACACCCACCATCTTCAACCTTCCAACGAACAGAACAACAGCCCACTATGGTCAATTTGGCCGAGCTTGGTGCCAAATTGACGGCCGGTCGTCAACCTGGCCAGGAGTTATCCCCGTGTGCACGTGCAGCCATTGCTGGTGCCGTCGCAGCGGGGGCAAGCCAGACGGCCGTTGCCAAAGCTTTTTCCACCAGCCGTCGCGCAGTCCAACTCTCACTTCAACGCTTCGAATCTTCCACTACTTTTGAAACCAAGCCTAGGACTGGCCGGCCAGAGCTTCTTACACGTCGTGAGAAACGGTACATCCTGCAACTGGCTAAGCGGTACCCTCGGTACTCGCTCCAGATGCTTACAGGTACTCTAGATACCCGCATTTCCCGATCAACAGTACGCCGAGTCTTGCGCGAGCATCGAATGCGGAAGTGGCGTGCACAGAAGAGGATTCCATTGTCGAAGGCTGGAGCAATGGATAGATATCAGTTTGCGTGCACTTCGTTGGACAATCTTGACGAGCTTCTCCGAGTAAGTGACTTGATCATTAACCTCTAATTTTACTAACAAACCTCTAGTCTATCTTCACCGATGAATCGTCTTCCAGAATAACTCGAGTAGCCCAATGACTTTGGTCTTCCGGTTCCCTTCTCAAAAATGAGATAAGAACTTCGGTCAACCTCAAAAAACTCACGGCAAAGGCACAATTACGATCATGGTTTGGGGTGGTATCTGGAAAGGTGGGAGGACTGACCTCATTGTCATGGAACGTGACTACCAACCGCCACAAAAAGGGGGATGTAGCTCCTGGAGCTATCAACAAGCATTGCAGAAGGGTCTTCTTCCTATTTATGATGGTACTTGTGACGGCAGCTGCCGTCGGAGTGCACTGTGGCTCCACTTGGTTGGGCACGTGGCCACACGCGCTGGCATTTAACTCCTGTATCGCGAGAGCTCTTTCCAGCTTCTCTTCCTTTTCTCCCCATCTTGTAATTAGCAGAATATAAATCTCATCGGTAGTGCCCTCGCGCCTCGCCTAAATGTCCCTCGTCTCTCATAGTACTCGGTATTTCCAACAAGACAACGCGAGGGTACATGCATCCACATCTACAACCACCTGGCTGCTGAACTCTGCAGTTGAGGTACTTGACGGCTGGCCTGCTCATAGCCCAGATCTCAATCCAATTGAGCATATGTGGGCTCTGTTGAAACGGAAAATGAAGCAGGATTATCCAGATATCTGGTCACTCAAGAGAAAACCAGCTAGACATTGCTGAATTTACCCAGATGCCTTCGTGCATGTTGGTGGTCAATTGACCAAGCTCAGATTGACCGGCTGATCGACTCAATGCCGAAACGATTGGCTGCAGTTAAAAAAGCCAAGGGTTGGTATACAAAATATTGATGGCTGGAACCTTGGCTTCTAACTGTATGTATCTGTTTTACTAGAGCTTGGGATTGTGGAAAGTTATTAGAAGATACGTCTGTAGGTCATAGTCCCAGAAAAGTGCGTGGCTGGGAGTTTTGATGTGGGGTGCCCCAGACTTTTGGACCCGTACGAATACTGGTAGTCATAAATACAGCACGCAAGCGTATTCTGTATCCCATACGAAATACTGGGTATTATCAGGAGGTTTCATACAGGTCACGTGGTGCGCCTCATTCCAGGATTCCAATTGGAGCGCCCGATTGGCGACTGGCAGCAAGAAGCTCTGACGTCTGAAGCAGCAGCAGCTCTCTCGAGAGAATTCCCGCTCCGCGGTAGCAATAACCACCAGCACATTACTTGGGACGCCGCCCGACCATCCCACCAAGATGCGCGCGACCTTCCGCCTCCTTGCCGCCGTCCGGCCGGCCGCGCGGTTTCTCGAAGCGGGCACTCCGACAGGCCTGACAGGCCTCACTACCCACGCCTCCCCGCGATCGACCCTCCTCTACCTCTACACCTCGACCCTCGAAAAGCTCAAGGCCGTACCCGACCACTCGGTCTACCGCCAGTCCGTCGAGGCCCTCACAAAGCACCGCATGGCCCTTGTCGAGGGCATCGTGCCCCCCGGATACGACGAGTGGGCCGAGAGGGCGCAGGAGCTAGTTGCCGGGCACCCCGACCAGTTCGCCGTCGCGCAGAAGGACGGCGTCAGCGGCGCGAAGGCCATTAAGCTAGAGCGCGGCGGCCAGGCTTTTGTAGTGCACCAGATCCCCCGGAAGGAGGATATGCGTTACGAAGAGTGGGACGGCGAGCAGGACGAGGGCCCGGAGCTCGAGGGCAGCAGGACGATCGAGGAGAAGGAGGACCTGAAACATATCTTTGAGAGGAGGGATATCTCGGATGTTCAGAACCAGGTGGAGTGGGAGCCAGAGCCGCAACTTACGGCTGACCAGTGGGTTTCCCAGACTTCATGAGCGAGGGGCACATACTGATCCATTCGATGCAGAATCTCGGAGCTCGAGACCAAGATTGGCGCTGGTCTGATCGAGGAGGTTATCCAGGTGGCTGAGGGCGAGCTCAAGCTGGTGGACACCATGGTTGAGTCCAAGGTGTAAGCGGCGCCCGATACCCCCTTATTTAATTCACATTTACTGACATTTGGCTAGCTGGGAGCCTCTGGAGGAGCAACCGGCCGAGGGCCAATGGACCTACTTTGAGCGCAAGGCGTAGATAAGAGTGTACAGAATTGTATATGAATTTATTCGGTCCTCCAAGCTAGCGATTGTCTCACGAAGGTGGTTGCTCGTTCCGAAACATGACACTTAGGTCAGCCCGGGTCGGATTGCGAGGTGGAAGGAGAGTGTTACTGCGCAAAAAGTCAATACCACGAGTGTCTAGCGGAAAATGTGCAATGCAGGCGATTTTGAATTGCTTATTTTCCTATAATTTGCATCCCTCAAAGAAAGTGATTATGTTGACAGTGTTCCTATATCAAGTCATGGTGTGGTTCTGTTGTAGTTGCCCCTCAACCCCACGATTCTTCGCAGCTGGGCAAGCAAACCTGCGACTCTTTCACCAACTTTGATAAATGGGAAAATCTTTTCAAAATCTCAACGCCCCGGCAACATAATCCCTGGTTTTTTCTATCGATGGTTTCATCTGACATCATTGAATCATTAAATAATTGAAATCCAACAAGTTGTCTCATTGCACCACCTGTGGATTTATATGAATTCGGCTCAGAGCCCCACCATCAACCATCACTTATCACCCGTTAATTCATCACTCACAACACCCACGGATGGTACGACTTCACGTCTAGACCGCCAACTTCAAACGACCAAGTTACCCTCTTCTTAAAAGACAGACGAAAGTCATGGACAGCCCCCCAACCACCACCCCCCACCGCAAGCGCAAACGCGCACCCTCAGACGCAGTCATCAACCCACTCTCCCACTTACTCGACACACTCCGACAATTCGCTCTCGCCGGCTACTCAGCCGAGAAACCCCTCCCCTCCAAAGCCCACCCAGGCTTCCCTCACCGCATCACTTTCTGGCCCTCCTGCAAACAAATCACCACCACCACCACCACCGACTCCGACACCGAACCCGACGCCCCCCGCAACACCACCACCACCACCACCACCACCGCAGCCCTCCCCTCCACCCCCGCCAGCGACGCCGACGACGACGCGACCGCCACCGAGGGAGGCGGGGGTGGGGGCGGAGACGGAGAGGGCTGGCTGACCACCACGGACGGCGAAACCACCTGACCCCCGACTCCGACCACCACCACAATCACCACCCCAACTCCGCCTCCACCTCCGCCTCTACTCGCCAACGGCGCAGCCGTAAATACAACCACGGAGCAACCCAAGACCGAGACCGGGACCGGACGGCGCGGGCGTACCGGGCGCGCGTGGGGTGTTTGGCGGCGGTGGCGCGGCGGTGTTGGCC